ACCTCTGTGCAGTTAGGAGAATAATGCTGTCTGAGATAAGATAAAATCAGTACATTGAGCTAGACAATGTCAATTAGAAAAGGTCCTGAGGCAAGTCCTTCCTGTAAGGATATGAAGATTGTGTCCCTGATGCCTGGACGCTCACTGAAGCAACGCAGTTAGACTTCCTGATCATTTCCTCCATGGGTAATTTGGGATAGTAAGCCAGGTAGAAGGCCAGTGCTCCCACAAAACTATCTCCAGCTCCCTAGAATACAAAAACAAACAAGTTAACTGTATTCACAGAGGGAAGCAGTTTACTGGAAACAAAAAAGTTGCAGCACTGATTGCAGGAGTCGAGAAAACGTTCAGGAGTTGAGTTCAGTTTGCTCTTCTATGCCTAGGAAATTCCGAGGTGTTAAACTAGTGCCATGATGCTACCTTTCTTTTTGTCCAACTGTTTAATCAAGGTACACACTATAATGTGGCTTAAAGGAAAAAATAAAAAGAAATACAAGTGTGTTACAGCTCAGATAACATGTTGGTGTAAACACTGCTTTTGAAACTTCCTGTTGTTGGAGTGCCTGATTTTGATTTCTCAACGTGTTTCATTAAATCTATTTTTCTCTCATTTAACTTCTGTTTTTCATAAAGGGCAGTGGTAGAAGGGAGAGAGAAAAGGGGAAAAAATAAGCCATGTGGCTTGTGGTGTCTGTAAATTCCTAGTTGCAGAATGATACATTTTGATGCCTCCAGAATTCAGCAGTTCTTCATTAAAATGTTCCCGTTAATGAAGGTCTGTGCTCTGTATGTCATTTAAACTCCTCATGCCTGGGACAAGCTTTGCCACCTGTGCTGAGTTTGATGAGTGCGGGGGGGAAGGGGTGAAGGAAAGTGTCATTCAGCTTGAATGCTTGGCAGTCAGGGCCTTCCTAACTACCTGTCCCCACTTCTCGTCTCCTATGAGAGCTGCCCCAGGCTCTGTTCTCCTCCATGCGAGTCCCCAGCAAACAGGGAGCGGGTCTTCCCCATGCTGGCTCTGGGCTCGGCCTGACCTGCTTTGACCCTCTACCCCAGAAACCACTAGTTTTGCTCTGATCAGCAGCGAATGACGATTGTTTGCCTCCTGACTGCTTTTTAACAATAGCTCTTGTTTCGCTATGTTCAATGCTCTACAGTGTTCTGAACAACTGGCAAAATGAATCATATTTTAACTTGATTTGCACATTTCATTCCACCGTATCTTCCTCCCCTCTCCCCCCTTACAACTGTCTTGATTTCCAAACTAGACTGATAACACAGTTCTTGTCGGCATGGTGAAGCTGGTTCTGAGTGTCTTTTTTTTTAATCATAGTTTTATACCAGCAAAAGTGTTATGCTGAACACACTGGTAGTATCATTTCATTCGAGACCCAGCAATGGACTATCTCCCCTGGAGAGGGTTGCCTCTATAGTTGTAATAAAACCCTTTTGAGCACCCAGTAGGCCCCAAGACACAGGACAAGAGCAAAGGTTTGGGCAAAAGTTAGTAAAGATAGCGGAGCACAACTTCTACCCGGAAATTAAGGCTAGCAAGTAACTTTCCAATGTTGTGTTCTAGTGGTTCTCACTACTAGGGTCATAGTTATGCCAAAATCAGCAGCAGAAAATACCATTTCTACAGAAAGCTGCTTGTACAATAGCCACTTCGGCAGGGCAGCATGGCAAGTGCAAGGGAAGCCTGCAGAGGGTAAGCATGGGGCGCGGGCTGCTCACCACTGCGCCATGCCTTTCCTCTCCTTGGCCAGCCCTCCCACAGTTGTTTGCAGTGCTGCTACAGCCAGGAAACTCCCTAGTTAACTCTCTGCTAACCTGATTTTTGGATGCTATTTTCTGTGGTGTTTACACTGGGGTACAATGTAGAGCAGAGTCTGGCAAATTACAAGTTAACAACAAAAGTCACGCTTCAGCCTGCAGCTGTAGCAGCACCTGTTTCAACAGCTCTGCAGGCCTGAAAATACAACTGGCAGGTGAAGGTTTTATCAATTTCTGTTGGGCTTTTGTCTCTCTCTTCTGGTTTCCATAGTGCTCCCACAATGGCAGGTGGAGCGCTAACAGGTGACTGCTAGTTAAGCATTGCCAGTATCTTTTGTCTGATACATAATACAAAAATCTCTGGCCCATCTTGGCGTTTATAATCTAATCAGTGCCTGATTAATTATTAAAGCTATTTTGGCACCGCTGTTACACACAGAAGTAAAATTTGAGCAGGCAGATCTGTTTGTTAAGCGGAAGTTCTAATGGGAAAAAAATTGCCACTTTCATGTCAAATATTTCTCATAAAGTGATCACTGGGTAATGGCAGAGGCCAAGCATTATTTTAGTGAAGAATACTCATAGCATCTGGTGTCAAATGGCATGACCTAAACCTGGCAGCAGCACGGGATAGAATATTGTCTTTCTGATCATCCTTTTTTTTTTTTTTGGGGGGGGGGGGAAAAATATCTAAATATCATCCCAAGTAATTGCTGCACTGTTTGCTATTGGAGCAAAAAGACTAACTACACATCACCTATGTCTTAGTTTGGATGACAGCTAGATGGAACGTAAGTTCTCCCTTCAAAGCTACTCTGCATCTCCACTTGTGGATGATGCTCGGAAGTTGTGAAACTGCTGTGGAGCTCTTGGTCAGGGTTAAACAATGTTAAATGACTAAAAAAAGGGTCAAAAAGGCACAAACAGCAGACTTCCATGCAGAATGGAAAAAAGGTTTCCTAGAAGAGAAAAGCTTGTATAGGATGATTGGAGAATATGCAAAAAGGATTTGAGACCATTAAACTTTCACTACAATCTGCACTTTCCATACATAGACTGAAGAAGTCATTCTTTCCAAAGAATAGCTAGTATAGATCCCCCAAGGGAATCATAAATTCAGTTTTCGCTAAGTAAACATTTTCTATGTATGTAGAATGTTCTCAATAAAGGAGCTCCTGCACTGAAAACAGTGGCATGTATGAGACCGATTTTGTAAATACCCTGTTCAACCTCGCTTCTGATCTGTGCAGACACAAAACTGCCAAACACGAATTCAAGAGCAATAGCAGAACTGATTCAGCTGCACAGTTAGCTGCTATAAGAACTATTTTCAGCCTACAGAAACAGACCTTCCCTCTTTGGTATTGTCCATTACACTACATTGGGTTTCTTGGATTCAGAAAAGGTCAACCTAGAACAGAATAAGGAACAGTCTCTCAGACTGAAATGAAGACTGTTCAAACTCTGGATTAGCAAATAGTAGTTTTACATTTAGCTGTTTCAAAACCTGCTGTAAGTAAAAATGTAACTTTGCAAAAAAAAAAGAGTTTTGATCATGACCAGTAAGATGCACTTATTCTACTCACTAACAAAATGTAAACACAGAATCGATACCATAGGCATAATATTTTACATTCTTCAGCATTTGTCTTCAAGGAATCCTAATACCTTGCAGACTTTGAGATAATCCTCATACCATTGAGTGCCCGGGGACAATTCATTCTATAATGACAAAAAATATAACTTATTTAACCTTTCTTTAAAGCAGGAGATGCTAGTTGGTATGAAATAAAATAATGAACTAGATAAAAAACTGGTCTGATATGGTGTGGCAAGTTCTAAAGTGGAAATGTTAAGGTTTTGACTAAGTTTTATGTTTTTTCAGCAGCTTTTAAAACCTATTTATATTCTGTGCCACTAGTCTGGAAGGTCCTTGTTTTCCTGTGTGTCTGGAAAAGGGCATTTGGTTTATTACAGTCCAGCACTGATCAAGATTCTGTGCCTCTAGAGAAGAGAAAACCCACAAAAACACTTCTATTTATACCTTAGCTTTTGTTAGTCCTGATTTGTCAGAAGCTGGTTCACTACTGTAGTATAACTATTTTTATACGATGCTGCCCTGGGAAGCTTTTTAAGGAAAGTGCTTTGTAAGTGGAAACTACATTGTTCAACAGTTTTATTTCCAGCAAGTAAAGCATTTTTCAATCAATCACGCTTAGAATAATAAGATGCATTTCACTTATACAATAAGATGACTTGTTCACCAAAAATATTCGGAGGCCACGAGGCTGAAACACACTGGTGCAGTGGCCGCACTGCTTTTTTCCAGGGTGACCTCTTACTCACCCTTTCCCCTTTCAGCCTATCCTCTTGGGGAAGAGTAATTGCAACTATGTAAGAAGGGGAGGGGGTTTGGGCCCCAAAGTCTGACATTGTTATTGAACTTCAGAAAACCTTGCTTGGGTGATTTTCAAGTCATAGTTCACGTCCAGTCTATGTATTACATGGATTCCCTTTAATACATTGTTAAAAGCATGCTATCAAATCCTAACAGAAACGATGCATTGTATAGCAGTGCAACAGAAACATCAGCCATGTCTGTAACTATAAGCTCCTCATTTAGCGAATAAATCAAACACTAATCAAAAAATCATGGAAAAGTGCATTATAACATAGATTCAGGAATATTTCTTGCAATAATGCTTCCAATCTGCCGGGAGCGTTCACAGCAGTGCAAAAGCAAACGAAGCCTGAAGATTACGCTGATTTAGTGCAGTCTAAATAGATGGCAATAAAGAGATGCCCAACTATGTTGAAGGAATTGGGCCTTGGAGAGTTCCTGTTTTATTTATATCACCTCATAACACTGCGGTATTGGATTATGCTAGGATGTTACCACTCTACGCCAGGTCTGCCCTAACATTCTTTGTTGCACCACTGCCTAGACGGTACCCAAACTACGAGTTAGCCCTAAATAACACAAAAATATCCATCAGCAAAGACATTTCCTCAGAAGTAGGGAAAGCCTACGTCTTCATACAAGAATCACTGGGTGTGCTTTGATGCAAGGTTACAAGTGGAGCTGGAGATGCAGCTCCAGCCTTCAGGATACATTCAGACACTCTTGTGCCAAGAGGGTCTATGTCTCAGCTAAGAGATAATTTCAGAAAAATGCTCAGGGAGTGAAATATCCCTTGGTTGTTACCAGGGCTGAATCAGCTATAGGGCTTTTTTTTTTCCTTTGGCCTTTTTTATGATTTCCCTCTCTCTAAAACAGCCCATGTTTATCCGCTATGTGATAGAGAATTTTTTTTTTCCTGGAAAATGTCACTGGCTTGTTTTTTGACTTTTGCATTCATTTGCCCGTGTAATACTTCTTTGTTTTATTTGGGGGGGGGGGGGGTTATTTTTTTTTCCCCTTTTATGCTTTCATTTCACTGGACAGAGATTTTGGCAGTTGGAATTAAGATTAAG